TTGGCACTCTCTGAGAAATACGCTATAAAACCGTTGAAGGAATTCTGCGGTAACTATTTGGCATCCAAGATAAACACAAATAACCTCGGTGAAACCGCAGCAATTGCTGAAATGTACTCATCCATTCCACTCATCAAGGTCATCCGATTATTTTTCATTGTTAATTCACTGAGTGTGAGATCTTGCATTGATAACCACATCAGTGCAATCCTTTCATGAAATCGCCTAACAATTCAACATTTAAATGAATTTATTCAGTTGTTTTACTTCTTTTATCCTCGTTTTAAAACTCCATTTTTAGCTATATCAAAACAGTCCAAAAGGAGTACGTTTTGAAGGTTTCCTAACGTTGTCAACTTATCGCTCCAACGAAACGAACATAAATAGAACCATCAAAAACATTCTGTTAAATAATCACGTATCATCATGCAGTTTCACAATTGCAATTTCACAATTTGCCAATTCCTCCTTTACATTTGCATAATAAGTTTTCAATTTTCTTTTAGAGGTGTGCTCGTTATCTGAGCGAGAATCGTATATCGGTACTGCGTTCCAAAGGTTGGGAAGAGCTGAAGAAGCACAATCCTGAACTGGCTATCCGCCTTCTTGAACACTCAATGTAGTCCAATGAATTTGATCAGCACAACAACGAATTGATCGCTCACTACCAGTGATTTATCATGATGCATCGTTCAAAATCTATTATCTATATCTGCGCAATATCGCATCCATAAAGGATTTCTCCACATTGCCATATGAAAATCTCTACTGCACAACCATTCATATAGATCACAAAATGCCGTATTCAGGGCTTACTTGTATTGTTCCATCTCCACATTTAGTTGAATAAAGACAACAGACTTCAACTGCTTTAACCTTCCATAGTGGTGTCATCTATTGATACAATGTATAAGAATCAGCGCCTCTACGCTAGTTGAGATAGCTTCAGGAAAATATATCTCCTCAAGTAAGCAGAATTCCTCAGGAAAATTTATGTTTTTCTAAATCTATAGGTTATGAGCGGACGAACGGTGTCATGAAATTGATATGTTACTGAGCAAACCTGAGGGTATGGTAGGCTTCAATATGGTGATGCCTATAGCTTTGTAAGAATACCTATATCTCCTCAAGTAAGTAGAATTGCTCAGCAAAGTATATGATAATCTGAATCTAGAGGTTCTGAGGAATCGAAGGGTATAGAAAAATTCATATGTTATAAGGCAAACCTGACAGTACCGGTAGTTTAAAGATGGTAACTCATTACCGCTTTAGTAATGTATGTATTGATCAATAGCGATACAATGCCTATGAATCAGCGGTTCTGCGCTAGTTGAGAGAGCTTCATGAAAATAGCTATATCTTCTCAAGAAAGCAGAATTGCTCAGCAATATATGTGTTTTTCTGAATCTAGAGGTTCTGAGGAATCGAATTGTGTAGAGATATTCATATGTTACCGATTAACGAGCAACGAATCCATTACTGATCCTTCAAGTCAATCATTCAATGAAATAAGCAAAGGATCAATCTGTTGATCAAGTGAGCGAGTCACCAGACAATATTTCATTACACGAGAGGTAAGCATTAGCTCTCTATTGCGTTCAAGTAGCGGAATTTTATAGCGATAGCGGATGTTATTGTCTTTGGATGGCGGTTTAGTTTTCGGCGAATGATGGCTAACTTCGATACATGAAATTGGAATAACATGCACGGCCCTAACCCCTAATGAAAGACGTAATGATGAAAGAACTGCATGGTGGAGATTTAGCAAATATCACACAAAAAGTCTTTCGCAATGCGCACATGCGAATATGTATGGTAAAGAAAGCCGTATCGCATCAAGCACTTTCTTAGTCTCTTCATGAATGTAAACATGCATAACCGACGAATCATTATATCCGATAATAATCATTTCGAAAATGGTTTTGCTTTATTGGTATCTCAATTTTGTTACATGATTCCAAACATGATTCGTGTTGGTGTTGCTTAGATTTGTTTTTTGAGTTTGTTGATAAATTTTGATCATTGAGTGGTTATGCCATAGAGATCGCTTCGGACTAAAGCCATGGAACAAGTAGGCGTACAAACGCCGAGATCGGTGAGTAGGAACGAGTGTCTCAAGTCGATGTCGTTTATTGTCTAGTGCTGGAAATTTGTCTCTGGTGCTCAACTTCACTGAACATATAAATTCGCTCTAGGTGGATATTAAGTTAATGCTGAAAACGTACACTCATGTTTCGATGATTTTCGATGACATTTTAGAGTCCTGTCAAATATTGAATATAATCGGGTTCATGAAATCTTTCAGTAGGTGTTTTTAATTGTGCGCAAACATTAGGAATCGCTTTCTTTGCGTTTAGTCCAAAGGACGTAAAAAATGTTCACTTTTGTGTGCGCAAAATGTGGTAATATTATAGCAGGAATGGAAGCAACAAGTCGAATGTCCAAGCAAATAACATCAATTAGAACATTCAAAGCGAAATTGGAATGGAAAATCGAAAATGTCAGTGAGTGAGTGCAATTTGCACGCTACAAATAATTGCAAACAATGTCTTTTTCTTGTGTTTTTTCATGAAAATTTCAGCTGATTGACTATTCCGCAGATTTTTCACTTTTCCAATTGGTCAGTGTGAAAGATGTTTTAATGCCATCCTGTTCAAATCGGCAGCAATAGAATCGAATCACTCAAATGAGTCCAATTGTTCCCACTTTTTATTGAAATTGATGAAAGCAACTTTATGTGTGTGACGGCACTACAACTTCATTGGCTTCAAACACACGCACAGATGAGAAGTTTTTAATTCATGAATGCCGAACTTTCAGCATTTGCCTCACAAAACATGACGGAATCTCAATCATTCAATAATCACTTCATCTTGTCACCTGAATCCTTCCATTGCGAAAAAGCTGCACTTTTCATTGGGAACATAGGGAAAGGCGTGAAGTTCCTTTGTTCTGAGTAAAGTCAGCAGAAGTGAAGCGAATTGCCATTGCTGTGGGAACAGTTGAAAAGCTGTCTTGGTGATAGTGAGAATATTCATATGTTCTCATTTCAGTTTGCGCAGAAACGATATTTCTTCGCAGAGGATAGGGTGTTATGCAGTTCCGAATTTGGGTTTAAGGATTATCAATTTGAGTTGTATATTTACCTTAAGGGTTTATCGGATTACAAACAATGCATTCTCGGTATTCATCGCATATATTCAAAATTACCTGTGAGTTTTGTTTCATCAGTCGTTCGGAATTTCAGCACTCATTCAGTTAAAACATCAATTCGCTATTATCAAATATAGCTTTCAACCAGTAATTGTCTATGTAAATAATGAATTATGTCTATGCAAATAATTCCACTACATATGAATTATGCTCGGAATCCATTGCAAATATTATTAGCACAGAATTAACCTAATTGGAAACATTTGGCTAATGTTGTGTGAGCAAAGCAAATTTTGCAGTTGAACAGAACGAATTTTATGGTTTAGCTTCAGTTCCAATCCAGCGTTACCCTCCATCAGAGACTATTTGAGAAGATCATCTTCTCATCAGATAGATGAAATTCAACTCAAACGATTCACAATTGTTGAATAGATTTGATGACAGAATTCTTGACTGAAGATCGTATGAATAATGCTTAATGAGTACTTAACTCAACGGGAATCAGTCAGTTCAAAATGAAACAAAAATTTAGATTGACGCGATTTGTACAATATCCGTTGTTGGGTGTGGAAGCTCGGATAATGATGGGAAGAAACTGGTGGTTGACCATAAAATAAATAAGATTGATGGTCATGGACAAGAATTCGATCCGGTTTGTATAAATTGATAGAATGTATAATTAAAATTGTTGCTCAGAACGAAATTATCATCGATGGAAATCGTTCAGTTTCAATGCTTTATCAGATATATCACTATAGGAATTGCCCATTCCAAAAACCACCGTCGATGCATTATAGATAATCAGAAATCTGTTGGCAATTCAATGAATTTCCCACAGCAATAGAAAATCTTTCAGGTTGACTTGAATAATATCAATTTGTCTCCATATTTCACAGTTTTTGCTGAAATCGAATTCTGTCCATACGGATGCGACAGTGCAGAGATTGAGCCAACTTTCGGGAATGTGGAAGGTGAAAACAAGAGTATCGCTCAGAATAACTTACAAATACTCGATAATGCTGAATTCACGGATTGTGTTTTTAAGGTAGTGCAACTTCATTTGACTTTCTCAAAGAATTCACAACGTCAACTGGATTGCGCGATTAGTGCTGGATGAAATTCTTTCGATTTGATCTAAAACGATCAATTTGGTCGATAATTATTTGGAAAACAGCACTGAAATCAGTCATTTTACGTTAATAGATTGAAACAGTCAACAATTCTTTAAGATATATCACTATTTTTCAAGTGATATTTCTTAACGAATTGTAAAGAACATATTCTTTGAGGAAAGAAGTCTCAAATCTGCAAGGTATGGTATATTGTTGAAGAAATGGCTTTGCTCAATCATAGCTTAAAACTTTACGGAATCACTTCTGAAAATTGCCCATTATCTTGAAGCAAATTATCGTTGCGATATCATTTGGTCTAATTATATCAGTGCGAGAAGGTTAACTATAAACGATCAGCAGATCAGCAGCTATCATTGCTGTTATTATTACCGTCATTATCATTACTTTTATCATTATGATCATTTCTCATTGCCACCCTAATTCCTCAATAAAATTATACTTCAAAGAAATGTTGAGTAACTGGAAAGCTCAAATCAAATTCCGGCATTTTCTAAACGAACGGTTCTGATGTGTTAATGGAACAGTCCATGAAAACAGCATGTAATTCAGAAACATCCCACGTCTCATTTTCACACTAAATTCATCTGCGTTCATCTCTACTGGATGCGACACATTTTCGATGTTACTTTTCAATCGTTTATATTTATATTAGTGCATTCATTTGAGGAGCATGACGAGAGAACATTTATTCCTTCATTGAAAATCTTCGAATCCTCATCAGCTGATGTTAACTGCTGATGCTATCGGGGAACTGTGATTAAAATTATCGATCACTTACGGATTTGATTGTTTATTTTTATAGATCGGTGACGATGAAATAAGAGCGCATCGCTGTTTTCTGGCAAAGCACAGCGATGTTTTTCGCACGATGTTCTCACAACCGTCGATGATTGAAGCCGAAAAAGGAATTATTGAGGTCATGGATTCTAATTACATTTCGGTTGGTATAAAAATACTCTAAAGCAAGAATTTCGCCACTTATCTTGCGCCTTCAGAGCACATTTTTAGGATAAACTGATGGAGATACCATTGCGATGAAGGTTTTCGACGATTGAAGAAGTATTGAATGCTGTGAGAATGATTATTTTAAAGGTCGGTATTATCAAATGATAAGAGAGCTTGTTACAGGTGCGAGCAATGCTAGAGTATATGTATTGCGGATCAACAGTGAACATCGAGAACAATGTCGAGAGTGTTTTGGCACTCTCTGAGAAATACGCT